GGGTTTTGCCGCAGTTTTTGTTTGTTTTAGTTTAAAATGGGCTTTCCGTGCGTTCCAGGGCGCTTGCATGCGTTTTTGATGTGTTTTCATGCGTTCCAGAGCAGGTAAAATAGGGCCTGCTGCAGTTTTTTGACCTGCTCTGGACCTGCTCTGGATCGCAATGCTGCGATGTGAACTGGGGCTAAAAATACCATTGGAATACATTGGACGCAGTTTTGCTCCGGTCTGTAACTGCTCTGCTCCTGGAACGCGCTTGGTGTGAACAAGGCCTAAGTGTAACACCGTTTGTTAGACTTCAACAATGAAAATTAATTAAAAAACAAGAGTCTGATGACCGAAGCCATATTCATTTTACAAACACATTAGGCTGGCCACACATATCTTCAATCTGATTGAAGAATCTCCTTTAGCTCTACCAATGACTTTGCAATGAAAGGACCTGCCTGATTGGGTACAAATTAAATGGATTGTTTGGTTAGACACTCACATTACATAGGTGTTTGTAAATCTGAAGGAGATTGTACAGACGGATTGGGTGACATTTATCAATACAGGAGCAGACAGGATTTCGAGCAGTTGCCCATGGCAACCAATCAGCATCTCTCCTCAGTTTGCTCAGGTAAGATTTAATAATGAGCCAGAGAAGCTGATTGGTTGCAGTGCAAATCAGCTCCAGATTTTCTCTGCTCCAGTTTTGATAAATTCCCCACATTGTGTTTAGCCAGCATTAGAGAATCCTGGAGCAGCTGTGCATGGCAGCCAATCAGCTTCTATCTTTCATTTTCAAAGTCTAACTGAAGAAAGAAGCTGATTGGTTACAATACAGAACTGCTCCACATTCTGTCTGCACTTTAACCCCTCACAACACCTCCTAACATTACAAGGAAGGGAAAGCAAGTAGGAAGCCAAGAAACTCTAACCCAAGTAAAAGCAGATTAAATTGCAGGAAGCATTTTTCAAATATTTGTTTAGCTTATGCTATGTGAATGGGGACATGTAACAGATATAACATAGGTGTTATCCCAATTTGGCTGCAGAAGTGGAAATACACTTTAAATAAACAGGTTTGTTAACTTGTGTAGCTGGGGTTGCCACCCTGCTACATTTGTGGCATTTTGAAACGGCAGTTATTTTCATTTGTATATTTCCGCTGACTACAGTCATCTGTGATAAATGGCTGATTGGTTTCAGATTTACACCTAGTCAACTCTACACAGAACTGATATTTCATTCTTGTATTATTAATGGCATGTTACATCTGTTGGAAATACAACAGTCTAGGCTGATATACACTGATTTGTATTACTGACATTCAGAGATGTAATATTAGTTTCTGAGCACTAGATGGCGATGTGGTGCAAAACTAGTATATGCTAGTCTGCATGTCTGTTTTCTATATGCATACTTATCAATGATATATATGTTTCCTGTTTGATGCTGTATTCCTATATGCATACATGGGATATCCTGCTAAGCAGTAAAACCTAATTAAGCATTCCTCAGTGCTTCATCTAAACACATAACCAGCAAAATCACATGGCTGAGAAAACTCTAATAGTGAGGTACCATCATCACTAGTACCATCATCAAAATTCCTAGTAACAGCCAATCTCTGAAACCATCACAAAGCCAAATAATTGTGATGTAAGCAGCTGATTTAATTTGTCATCCACTTGGGGAAAAAAACTTCCATTTGAGTTGACCTCTTTTAAGTGCAGTGTGATTTAAAGTGCAACTACAGCCCAAACCTTTTTATTTTAGCTTAGTATACAGTGGAGAGGGATAATACATGTATCAGGTATTTATTGCTGTCTGTGTCCCCATTAGGGAGATTTACCCTCTCCGTTTGTCCTGGTGACTGTTATTAATAGAAGTGAAAGAAAACCCCAAATTATTGGTTGTAGATGGGAAATCATCCAATGGGGATGCCAGTTCTGGTGACCCTGCTGACCACCCGGGATTTCCCTTTTATTGGAGAGATTTCCTCTCACTTCCTGCTGTGGCTATAGATCAGGAAGTAAAGGTTAATCTCCCCAATGTGAAACATATGGGGGGAAAAAAGCTGACGGGGTTTCAACCCTCCCTTACTCTATTTAAAAGCAAGAAAAATGTTTTTGCTTCAATTCTACTTTAAGAATTATAGTCTTGGCTTTGCATTTTTCTTTTGGGGCACTGTCTTTTTGTTATTATAGGGAATGCTGCAAACATAGATCTTACCATATGAATGGTGTAGGCACACTTGCTGTCATTAAAACACTAGGAACATTATTTTGATGGAAAACATAGCAAGAGGATTCAATCGAAAGATCTACAGTGTTTAAGCAGCAATCCTGCCAGGAACATCTCACAGTACAAATATCACTAGCAAAAAGATCTGTTTAAGATTATGCCCAATGCCAAGCAGCCGCGCTGAGCAGAGTAAACACAGTCAGGGCTGTATTTACAATAAAGTGCAAATGGGTTTTATTAACCAGCTGAATAATCCTTTACCTACAGGTTTCTACTTCAAATTTAATCTATACCTGATTATGCCTCAGCTGTAGGTCACTGGCTGTTCATTGATTCTTCAAAGAATGCTTCTCATATGGAACTTGTAAAGAGATATTTTTAGAGGATGCCATTGGTTATATATCACTTTTAGCTTTATATCTGCCAAATATAACCCAGCAAATGTTTCAAGGATTGCTTTAAAGTCTATTTCCAACTTTGTAAGTGATTAGCATTTATTGTGGTTATGAGGTTAAAGGTGCAGTGATGATGTATACATGTGCCCATTTTCATGGCTCACATTGCAGGCTTTCCTTCTTTTTTTATGAAGGTTTTATTAACCTGAAGCCTAAAAACTCAAACTTTTCTCAACAGGAAATTCAGTTAGACACCAGGGTGTCAGACTGTAATCAGCTCATCCCTTATCTGTCACCCATTGTAACATGATCAGTAAACACTAGCTCTGCCTTTACACACAACACACTGTCCAGGGAAGAAGGGGGGGGGGGGATTTTCACATTGCTTGCACAGCACAGAGTCATAAATTTCCATGCGGATATGAAAAGGAAAGCTGCCAAAAAAAATTAATTTCTGTTTTCATGTACATCAACTGCCAAGTGTATATGAAGCAGGCATATATTTTTTACAAATACCTCTGTTACAATTGCGCTACACATGTTACATATCGCCGCGAACGTCGCAGTGAGAGCAATCATTTTAGGGCCATCAATCACTGATAACACTAAACTGATGAGCGGTAACAGCTTTTAAAGCGTCGCCTAGGGCCAATTTTGGGTATTATCGTTTTTTGAGGTTTCGCGCGCGCACGCAATTTTAAGGCTTGACATGTTTAGTGTCTTTTTACCCGACGTGACCCCATCTTTTATATTTTACCAAAAAATTGGGTAATAATAAATGTTTTATCATTTAATATAGGGGAAACTGTTTTTTTTTTAAATTTCGGTAATTTTTCCTTAATATAGTAAAAAAATAAAACCCCCAGTGGTGAATAAATACCACCAAAAGAAAGCTCTATCTGTCCCCAAAAAAGGGTATAAAATTCATTTCAGTACAGCGCTGCATGACGGAATAAATGTCAGTCAAAGTACCGCAGCGCTGAATACTGAAAAATGGCCTGGATGGGAAGGGGGTTTAACACCGCGGATGTCAACTGGTTAAACAGACACTGTGTGGCCTAACTCCAGAAGAATATGTTCTTGCACATGTTGGAAATACCTACATTAGTGTAGGGGGTGCAGAGGTTATACCAGTGTAGTTCAGCACTAGATGTCCCAGTTGCCTAGATGTAAGAGCTCCTGTGAGGCACCACACATGCTATAATTTGATTGTATAATCTCCTTTAGATCTACCAACAACTATGTAGTGCAAGTGTCTGTCTGGTTGGATATGAATTGGTTGGATAGTCTCGGTATGTCTTTATATTGCATAGGTTTAGTAAATCTAAAGTTGATTGTTTTGTCAGATTGTAACCTGTATTGTGACCCTTAGAAGCCCTTTAACTGAAAGTCCCTACAGAGGGTTGCCTAGCAACCGCACCATGCCACTCATGGTTCTGTGGCTAGTGTATTTAAGAGGGGGAAGAGATGTGGAGGAATAAAAGTAGAAGACTCGTGTGAGCAAGTAGATGTTTCTGTCTGCTGGCCTTGAGAGTGAAGGACAATGTAGTTAGGGGTCATCTTATCAAGAATCATCCCCCCTCCAGGAGGGAAGCCTATAGACTTCTTCCATGAAGGTAGGTAAGACTGATTTAATTCCTCTTTGAGAGGGATACCGGAACATTCAGTAACCCACTGCCGGGGATTGTGCCACCATTACTCAAGATGGCTGTTTTGTACAAATTTCTTTTGTTACTTAAATGTCCTTTCAAGGAGCCTGGAAAGCACTCTATATAATTCTGTACTAGTGGAGGACTACTCTTGGGCATGGGCTTGTGGCCGGGAAAAGAAGTGAGACCAATATTGGTAGAGGTGAGAGGAGGCTTCTAGTCAGGCCAGGCTGGGTCGCTCACCAGGGTGTTCTAAATTGGGTGATGTCTTGGTGTTCTGCCCAGTGAGGCATGGGAACCTGACAAACCCCATGCTAGCCAAATCTGGGAAAAGTGTCCCTCAAAGTCTACAATGTTGATAGCATCAGAAGGCTCTTTTACGGTTCATTATAACGATCCTTGTAGAGCCAGGCTTAGGACGCTGCTTTCCAAAATGGCCTATATTAATTACTAGCAGTGTTTTATGATTCCAAATGGTACACTGGTGTATAATATATGCATAATTATTAGTGATACTAAAGGATCAAAATCGAAACCCTTGGGAATGCCTAAGTAAGATGGGGATGGAGCTAATTTTTTCTGTAAGTTCATAAGAATTATGGCTGATACACAATCATGAACTGTTCGGGTGTTATTCAGCTGATAAGAATCATAGCCTTCTACCAGTAAACATTATTTCATTTCATTTATCATTGTTTAGGCTTCAGCTGTTGGAATACCCAGAGGAATGAGTTACCTAGATGATGTGCCATTCAGATTATATGATGGATTCACACCTTTCTCTTCTTCCAATGATGGGACCCCTAGCCTCTCAGATATCAATGTCCCAGACTGCAGTGGGATATTGATGTGTACTGTGGTAAGTGTGGGAGGCATATAGCAGGTGTATTATAAGCATTGAATGGCACCTTCTGCCAGATTTTACTGCCAAGGTATATGACCCAAAATATTGTATTTCATCAGAAATAATCAGATCCTTTAATGATTTTACATCCCATGTGCATGTATGGGGTAGTGTATGTCAAACAAATCCCCATACAGCCATATGCATGACAAAACCTATGCTTAAGAAGATATCAAGGAACCGCCCAAAGGTTTTCCAGCTCGCCTTTATAACATTCTATTGGTGGGCCCTCTGCTGTGATCTTTTCCTACATTCTCATAATTGTCTAACGATTGCATTAAAGTTAATATCTAGCAAAAGTTTAACATCATGCATTTGTACCTTTAACCATGTTTTCTGCATGGAAACTTTCTAATTTTATAGACTCCTTTTCTCCAAATATTTTATTTCAAGAGTTACTATAAAATAGAAGTCTTCAATTATCAAAGGAAATTAGCAAACACATAAGAACACTGCAACATACAGGCTTAATCAGTAAGGTGCAGTGCATGTATGTCTATTTGGGAAAACATGGTATAGAATTGGAAATCAAACTTTGTTAGAGAAGGAGATAACGGAGCAAAAAGAATAAGCCTGTGTCCCATATCATTAATGTAATTTTAACATTCACTTAACAGTGATGGGCTTCATTTAATAATTAAAAAAAGCTAGAAAAAAAAAAAAGCTATTTGTGTTGCCCCATCACAAGCAATGACATCCCATCAGTTACTATTTTAATTACAGGGTTTACTATTAAAGCAGTAGTGTGATTTACCTAATGCATCTTCATATTCTTTGATGCATGTCTAAGCATTGAGTAAAAAAAATTAAAGATTTTTTAAGTAATGCAATCTTATATGTAATGTCTCTTTTTCTGCAGCACGATTTCTCTATAGAGAGGAAGGTCCTCGATTGGGTAGAAGGAATGTATGGTCACAACACCTCAACTTCTGATAATAGGCCTACAGCTCCTCCATACTGGATGGTGCATGATGGAAAGGGGGTTCCTAAGAGCAGACGTAACAGTCCCCAGAGACCTTCTGTGTCTACGCGGAGATGTAGAAGCCTAAGCATAGCAGATGTCCACATAAGCCGCCCACGAAGCATGCGGGGAGCACCAGAGAGCATGGAAAAGAATGAAAGAATGTTTGAGGAAGATGGGTACTCTGAGGATGATGAATATTCTTCATCAGGGGAAAGCGAGATAGAGGCTCGACATAAGGAAGTCAGGGCACGTTTGTGTAGAAGCCCTCAGCCACAATGGTCTTCTAGGCCCCGTACGTCTCCCTTTGTGCCCAGCCCTCCATCCATATGCCGCTGCTCTCATGCTGAATCCCCACCATCCCACATTAAAAAGAGGAAGTCCCTTACCCCTTCACATAGTTTTAGGAGTGAGGTGGAAACAGCAAGCAAGAGAATTGCAGCCCTGGTACATCCTCACACGGCAAGCTCTGAAGGCAGAGGCTCTTCACAAGGCCAGCACCAAAGAAGCAACTGCTGTGGAAACACTCTGAGTCCTACACTGCCCCCAGCTTCACATTGTTGTTGTCCAAAGAGACCGCACAGTGCTGGATCCATTCCACCAATACGCTGTCATAAGCCCACCAACACGGTAAGGTTTGATTATTTACAATTAATGTCATAGGAAGCATATTAACACATGCCACAACCATAAGATAGGACAAATAAAATACATATCACCATATCAATTAGCTGTACAGTAGTTTCATAAGATTTTGCTTTACTAATACCCAATTTAGAAGAAATATCCTCAAATAGCAGATCTCAGAGTAAGCTAGTTGAAAGAAAATGGATCAGATTAACATAATATAATCTAGAGAGAAGGTCCATTAATAGTATGGAACCAAAATGGTTTTCAACATGACTTGGAATAATCCTTCAATGACTGGGCATAAGCAACAAAAAGAAGAGATTAGTGTGGGAACATTAGGTTGGTGAAACTTCATATCTGGGCAACAACGGCAAATGTCGAATATAAGCTGGTCTATCACCCTACAACCAAAAATATATTCCTGTTTATAGATAGGTTATGTCATATCCACCACCGTAACCTGTTTCGTTAACATGTTCCTTTGGTTAAAGCTCCATTTTCTCCCCATGTAGTGATCTAAATGTCTACCCCATAAAGCTCGCTTTGCTGAAACTCAACATACCACAACGCACTATCTTCCATTTGTTCCTTCAGTCTTTGAACCCATACTCCTGCCTTCCACCTACAAGACGAAGTCACTCAGACTCCTCAGGGGATGTCCTTCAAGCTCTTAGTCAAGAGGAGCGTGATGTCATCGAGGCTGTAACTTCCATGGGATACCCTATTCGCAGAGCTATCATTGCACTTCAAAAAATGGGAGGACAAAGCCTAGAACAGGTAAGCTGACCCTCAGTTTTGTCCTAGCTTGCATCAACATAACCTAAGAGAATTGTCCAAAGTCTTAAAACCTATTCCAGAGATAACAAAGCCTAAAACCAGGGCAGAGAAAGGATATGCAATGCGGGCCAAAGAGTTCAGTTTTGACCTTAGATGGTCTTAACCTTGGAAGATTTTTCTATGTGTCAAGTGAAGTCATGGAGTTTGAAAAACTCAGTTCTGAGTCCCATCAGGTCTATTAAAGCTTGTTATGGGGTTAACCCTATAACATACTGGCAGACAGTACAAGTGAAGTAAACCATGAGGCTGAAGAAATTACCTTGAAAAATAATGCTAGCCAAGCAGAGAAGGCAGAAGCAATAACAGTTGTGGAAATGAAGGCTCCAGCATGGGGGTTGAAAGCTATAAGGGTAAGGCAGCTGCAAGGATGTTCTAGCAAACTGTGTAGCCCATTAGAAGGAGGCAGTGGCACCTTGCATAGTGATATGCTGATCCCTACTGAGGAAATTGTCACGAGGAACTAAAGATTTCTCACATTTTGTATGGTATTTGGATGTCCTCAGGGTGGCTGTGTAGGAGTAGATTCCTGATGCATGACTCCTACTGTCATTAGGCTCTGCAGCAGTCACCTCACACCCCTGTTCCACCTATGGATTTCGCCATATATGTCCAGCAGCCAAGGGAGGAGAGGCAGAAAAAACAATACACATGGCAAAAGCATAATTACAGAAAATACAGCCATGCAGCAAGAACAATGTGATTATCATACAGATCGTGGAACTTATATGTTTAGTAGGGGTGTTTGCAATGCAGTTTAGATGTAAGTTAATAAGCAGAGTACTGCAGATCAGCGAAAAGATATACTTTATATAGACCTCACTGTTTCTACAGCTACTAATATAGGCATATAACTTCTCCCTGGAAGCTTACATTACAGCATTCTTCAGCATACTGATAATTTTGTCGTCGATCACTTGTATGCAGTTGCTTGACATAAATTCATACGGATTATTTTCCGAGCAGCTTGAATCTTCTCTTTATAGGCTAATTTATCATCTCAATGTTACCTAACACCCTCAAATGGCACTATACTGTACGTTTTGGGTGTAATCGCTGCTCTCTGTATAGATAATGGAACTGTTTCTTTAAAAACTTTCTTGTTTCTTTTATTGTGTCGGCCTCTGCTGTCTGCCTCTCATTTTTTACTGCTGGCAGCTACCTTTTTTCCAGACATTTAAAGATCAATTGTTTGTTACAATAACCCTTTGGCTGCACAAGTTCTGTGTGCCCATCAGCCTTTACCTCAATGATGGGCTAGGACAATGGTGATGACATCTTTAGATAATAAATGGTACCACAGGGAGCTCAACTGTCGGCACACAAAGAGCCCCAGAGCATGCCAGTAGTGGTAATTACTGTACGGCCATCTCAGTGAAGGATTTTTGTGTGACTATGGGAGATGTTCTGTATGGTTGCCAAATTTCTAAGGCAAATCCCTATTCTGAAACCTTGTCTTGGGGAATGAATGTCCCCGGCTATTAGTGCTGACCATCTGCACTATACAATCATTCTTTCCTTACATACAGGGACTGATAAATATGGAGTAATGTCCTCTGTAAAACACTCCAGAACAAGTCAATTCTACAAAATTGAGTAAAATTGTTTTGTTTTTTTACCCGAGCCACTCAATTCAGGCTTCCTTAGTGAAAGGAATTTTAGATGTACCCACAGTACAGAGCTTGGCATAGGATAGTTATCCTTTTTGTCTCTTTTTAGAAACAATCCTCTTTGGGAAAAAATATATGCCATCTCCGCAGCTTTATTCATAAGATTGATTTTTGTTAACCCAGACCAAACTCTTCCTCATTTCAGTTGTTCTTGTTGGAATTCTTGCACAGCCTCATGGAGAAACACAAGCACACAGTCTGATATGCATGCTGCATATGGCTTGGCTAAAACAGGAAGGAAGCCACAGCTTTATTTTCTATCTTATTACAATACAACAGAGATGTATACCATAGATATAACAGAACTTATAAACACTGCCATCTAGTGACCGAAATTGTATACTGCAGGAGTTGTTGCTATAAATACAATGTGTATTCTAAGAGTTCGGTCACTTCCAATAGGTCCTGGGTTATCTCGGAGCTACGGATCGACTTTGCAAACTTGGATATGAGGAGCCGCTAGTGGAAGAGGCCATGGAGATGTTCCAGAACTCTGAGATAAAGGTAGATTTTTAAAAAAAATCGTAAATGTTATCTGTTTTTGAAATTCAAAGTAGGCATGATAATCCTGATTACAGGTTTAATAGTTTAGGATAACAGTCTTACTGCCATCTTTTCCATTGTGTGATTAGTGACTAGGATGAACTTTTTTACATGAGTGACTGACGGAAAGCTGTGATAACACTATTAAGGCTTGATTCATACTGTTCATGCTGCAGCATGTTAATATAACCCACACAATTAGTTATAACCTCACGGCAATATCCAGTTTTTGCAGTGTGCACTAGATAAAGCATAAGAAGCTTATTAAAAAAATCTACAACCATAGGCATGCACAGCCTATTGCATTAGGGTGTGCGCACCAAAGTACAAACACACACACGCATATACTGTGTGTGTTATACACACATACACACACACACACACACCAGAGGCATCCCAGAGTCCCATCTCTTCAACTGTCCCTTGCCTCTTCCAGCAGTGGTGCAGTAATGAAGCAAGAGGCTTGCTCGCCATCAGCTTCCCAGGCACCGAGGACTGCAGCTGTTATGTGAGGAATGTAAGTGGCAAGTGCTGCTGCGCTCTGTATTGCTGAGCTGTTCCCAGAGAGAACTCCACCGGTTCAGTGACTAAAAACACAGCGCCCACTGTTGCAGTTTCGGTGTTGGGCTCAGGATGATTAGGTTGTGCCCAGGCACA